ATTTCTTCTTCTATTTATTAATTTTATTTTCTATATTCATTTCTTCAATTGAAATGATTTTATCTATTAGTTCATTCTTTGTTTTATTAACTATTTCTTCTTCTTCATATTTTCTATTATTTTCTTCATTTTATTTTTCATTATTTCTATTGATTTATTGTTTCTTGTCTTTTTTCTTATTAGTTTTCTTCTTCTAACTATTTCATTAATTCTATCAATTATTCTTTCTCATCTTTTAATTGCTTGTTCATATGTTTCATTATCTTATATTTCAAATATTTCATTTTTAATACAACCTAAATAATAATGATATTGTTTATTAATATCATCAATTGATTGTTGAATATTTGGAAGTGTTTCTATTATTTCTTCTTTAATTAAATGAATATTCATCACTTCTTCCATTTTAATTTAATGAATATCAAATCAAAATAAGAATCATAAATAATTAAATACACATTTATAACACATCATTTTATTTTTTATTTTAATAAATGTTATTTCATTTTTATTGTTTTAAATAACAATAATAAAAACAAGAAAATAAACTAATAAAAATAAGAAATAACAAAACAACTCATCATAATTAATAATAATATCACATAATAATGATAGAAATGAAAATGAAAATACAAATAAAAAGAACAATCTACTTACAATTAAATAATGAAAATAATAAATAAACGATGATAATTAATAATAGTAAAATAAAAGAATGAGAAATGATAGAGAAATATTGATGTTATCATCTGAAGTCATTTTGATAATTGTGATAAGATGAAGAAATGAATAGAAAATCAAATCAAGCATTAAACAACAATAAGATGAAATAACAATAACAATAAAAATAAAAAATAAATAATACACAAAAAGAAGAATAATACAAAATAATAACAACCAACAACAAGGTAAAGAAAATTAATAAGGAAAATAAATAAAGAAACAGGAAAGAATAATAAATACGCACTATTGATAACATCAACAATGAATATGAAAATGAAAGAAACTACAAGAATGAAAAATACAAAAATTAAGAATAAGAAGAAATGGATATAAATAAACAAGATAACAAACAAATAGAATAATAAGTGAAATAATTGAATTTAATTAGTTAGTTAAATATAACAGAAAATGTTTAAATAAAAGAAATACGAAATAATAATGAGGTAGAACAAACGATAATAAAATAAATTCATAGTAATTACAATAAATAGTTTAATAAATGCAGAAAGCACTACATGTTAAAGAATTAAAAAAAAGAAAATGATATTATCAAAGAAGTTAAAAACATCAAATTAAAAATAAGAAGGATATCATATAATACTGTTTTATCACATTTAAACATAATTTATAAATTGGTTAATAACAGGTATGAGATTAATCTCCTAAATCAAAGAACAAAGAAACTAATTCTATTAGTATATAATTAATTACTTTTTATTTATGTTTTAATACAAATAGTCTTTTATCAGACCTTTATTTACAAATACTTCAAAATGACTGAATCATTAAATCAAACTCTATTTTATTTTTTCATTTAAAATATATTATTACATATTATTTAACTCAATTCTCTTTATCATACCTTTATCAGACTAAGCAGTATAATATTTCGTAACTAACCAGTTGAAGGATAAAAAAGATGAAAAAGAAACTGATTTAAATAATATCTTTTTTAGAAGAACAAAAAACATCTAATATTTCTTTGTGTCTTTTTCGTTGAAGACATTCTAAACACTCAGAAGCAGAAAACCGTTTTGATACGTCAGAATCAAACATTCCATTTAACAAGAGTTGTTGACTATCAGTTAAGAAATCAAAACAAGGGAATGAAGAATAACTATTATGTTGAATATTATCAAGAAGTCCTTTAATCTTGTAATCATTAGAACAAAAAGGATGTCTTCCAGTAAGAATAGTA